TTTTTTTGTGTTTTTTTGTGGTATGATTTGTGCTTTTTTTGTGTTTTTTTGTGGTATGATTTGTGCTTTTTTTTGTGCTTTTTTTTGTGGTATGACTTGTGGGTTTTTGAATATAAAATCAAAGGTGGGTGGCACGAGACAAGGCCATGTGCATTGGTTTTATGACTTTTGTGGTCTGATTTGTGCTTTTTTCTGTGCTTTTTTTGTGATATGATTTGTGCTTTTTTTTTGTGCTCTTTTTTGTGGTATGATTTGTGCTTTTTTTTTTGTGCTTTTTTTGTGGTATGACTTGTGGTTTTTTGGTACTTTTTTTTGTGGTCTGATTTGTGCTTTTTTTGTGCTTTTTTTCGTGGTATGATTTGTGATATTTTTCCTTTTTTTGTGATTTTTTTTGTGCTTTTTTTTGTGGTTTGATTTGTGCTTTTTTTTGGTGCTTTTTTTGTGGTATGATTTGTGCGGTTTTTTTGTGCCTTTTTTGGTGGTATGATTGGTGCTTTTTTTTTTGTGGTATGATTTGTGCTTTTTTTTGGTGCTTTTTTTTGTGGTATGATTTGTGCTTTTTTTTGTGCTTTTTTTTGTGGTATGATTTGTGATTTTTTTTGTGCTTTTTTTTGTGGTATGATTTGTGCTTTTGTTGTGCTTTTTTTGTGGTATGACTTGTGGTCCAGGGCGGAAAAAAGCACAAAAAACCACGGGGATTTGGACAATTCTTTTTGGAAATTTGGGGTGGGGAGCCGGGAGCGACGAGGTGGGGAGCCGGGAGCGACAAGGTGAGGAGCCGGGAGCGATGGGTGGGGAGCCGGAAGCCAGGGGGTGGAGCAGGGAGCCAGAGCGAATTTGGACTTGGCTCTCATCCTGCTCCCAGTGTAATCACAATCTCCCTTCCTTTCTTTCTTTCCTCTTTCCTTTGGCTGTGAGAGCACGCAATCCTGGCCACCTGCTACCGTTCCATTCTTGAGCCATCATATCATAATTTGAATTGCCACTTGAGATTGACAAATTAGTGAAGGGATTGGGATGATACTGGTTGTTGTTGGTTTGCAATTATGTTCAGATTTGTGTTCTTTTGAGTTAACCCGCCCACTACTCCAATCATTTTGCGTTTCCTAGACCAGAAATTACAATCCAATTTCCTTTAATGACTTTGAATATGATTATTGTTTTTGGAGGTATGGTTTAAGGGCCCTGACCCTTTACGACTGTTACTGTGGGGGGGCAGGGCCCAATGTATATGGTCAGAATCGGCCATACTAGCAACAGCTTGCAGGCCCGCCTCTTGGACTCGAATTGCTTTCCAGACTGCATCGGCGGGCTCACAACATCTCATCACTGAAGACGACGCAAGCCATTTGGGACAGCCAGATTTTGGTAGGGAAAGTGTAGCCGGGCCGTTGAAGTGATTCTGCAGGGTGATTGGGATGGTGCCGACTCACATATTTCGTGGGGCCGGGGATGCCTGAAGAAAAGGACAAAACATGTTATTTGTTCAATGGTGTCACCGTTTGTCTGGTCTACAGTAAAATGAGATAACGAACGAAACGGAAGAAACACCTGAAAGCCAAACAGGTGTTGAAAGCACTTGAGATTCTTGTGTTCAATGCAACAAGAAAGTGGCTGTTTGGGGAAAGAAACCATTTCTTATGTGGTTGTTTGGGTTTCCAGGAAGCAAACCATTGAACCGTTCCATGAGGACCTTCCGTTGCACCCACTCACCAAGCCACGCTCAAGTGCTGGTCACGGCTCAATGCTCCTTGGCAAGGAGTTCGCGGTAAACGACAAATCGGTGAGATGCTCCCAGTTCTTCCGTTCGTGACCAAACTTCATCCCCTGGTTGGTTCGGTCATAAAATGTCATAAAGACGCCTGCTTCACAAGGTCACTCGGTTCGACCGACTCCAAAAAGATCTTCAAGAAGCTGATGGTTCAGAACCTACTGAGCATTGTTTCTACTGGGTTCCTCTTTCTACCTTTGTTTCGATGGTGTGACTGGGGAAGGGTTTGGAGGACCCATTGTCATACTTCAAAGTACAGCACCAGAACGACCTTCCCACCAGGTAGGTCAACCAGTCAGTATCGGGGTGCCATGACCCACAGCCATGTGTCGTCCAAGACTCGTGCAGTGAAGCTGGCATCATCTGCCTGAAGGGAAACGATTTGCTTGGTCAAGCGCCAAATGCTTCAGCTGGCAGCCAGGCCATCTGCATCCCAGAGATGCTGTCCTTCAAACTCTTTGATCCCTGAGAAGCACACATCTTTACTGTAAACATGAATCTTATTGAATGTTTTTTGTGAGATACGTCAGTTCCCCCAAAAAAGAACATAGAATATCTCCAGCCCCAAATTGATTGCTTACAATGTGTTAAATGCTGTGCAAAGAGGCAACAGTGCAGCAACAGGGTCTCTTTCCGCCCACCTTGAGCCTGGCCAGAATGATTTCCAGCTCGCTGAGCGTCAAAGGTTCCTGACATCCAGCTTCGCCCGATGCCCATCCCTCGGACCGTCGGAAACAACGATCGGATCGTCGCGTAATCCGAGGGTCACCCACGTACGTGGCAAACTTCAAGTTCCAAGTTCCATACCAACCCAAACAGACCCGAAACCGTGGCCGAGTTTCATCAAATGTCTGCCGAACTATTTCCATCTGCGACTCTTGAGATCTAGTTTGGGCTGCGAAGGCATGGTTTGCCAATGTATCACCTGCAAAATGGCTCAGTTCAAAGCCCGGGCAGACAGCCGGCTTCACCGAAAAAAACGCGGCTCCTCTAGGTACAAGCGCTCTGTATAGGTTGATCTGGATCCGTCCAAGGCCTGCGGAAGCGTCCCTCCGGAGGGAGAGATTGTCCTTTTTCAGTACTGTAGAATATATACATCTTAAACTGACCCATATATATATTTACACACAGGCAGAGAGCAGTTTTGCGCGGAAGCACCAAAAGACTGGTAGAGATGCTGTGGCGTTCTTTGCCCAACAGTATTTGAGCTTGCAAGCTTTCGGAGGCACCAAACACACATCTCCCGTGGATCGACGCCACACAATGTATCTCAAATTGGTTCTTGGATTGGCTCGGAATCCCGAGACACACAAGTGTTTTTTCTGCGCTGAACCCATCACCATACTGGATTTTGACCCAAATCTGCCCGATTGAGATCCCATTGCCCCTCAGTTGGACCGATTCTGCAGATCTTCCCACTCACATGGACGTGGAGTCTCCAAAGGGCCCTAGAAAATGGGACATGACTCTATATAGAATTCAGATCTATAAAGTCAGGTACTTGTAACATCTTGTAACCATTACACGAAATACAAACAAAGACTCCAGGGACTTGGATCACAACAAACTTGTTGCGGTATGGGACCTTTCAGAGAAAAGGCCTTGGTAGCCACACAAAACATGTGGCCTCTTTGAGAGCACGGCTTTTGGAGCAGTCCGGGTTGTGGAGCAAAAGGAGATCCTGCAGTGAGTCGTGGGAAACGGTGAATTGTCTTGGGAAGGGAGTGAAGTTAGCACACCCGTGCACAGCGTGCTTTGGAGAGTTCGATTTGCAGGTTACCTGCAGAGACTGACTGACTGGAATGTAAATTTAAGTCCTGCGGTGCAGGGAAGAACTCCGGAACACCAACCAATAGACCCGAAGCGGCCGAAGCATCGAGAACTCCGCACCTCTCCAAACTAGGTCACTAGGGCCTCCACTATATCTCAGAAAAAAACAAACTATTGCAATCTCATAGGGTTTTCCTGAATTTGTCCATGTAAGGTTCATCACAGCGAGCCAAACCGATGTGATGTTCAGAAGCTCGGAGGAGCACCCATGCACTGCTCTCAACAAGCCATTCTCCTCGACATTCTGGTTCAAAGACTCACACAAGCCTCGCGGCACGGTGTCGTCGGCGAAGGCGGACACCGAGTACTGCCACACACTGAGGTGACATCTCCTTGGTGTTCTTTTCTGAGAGTAGTAACCCAAATGGAAACATGTTGCGTAGTAAGGCCCTGGTCTGGTGACTGTCTCGTCTGGTGACTGTCTCGTCTGTCCAAAGACTTGGACGGGCAATAAAATAGAAGCAGCAACTGGAGCTTGGAATGCTGAAACGTTTCAGCCGGATTTTAAAGAAATATTTTAAAATAAAAACACACACGTGCTTTTTCATCACACCGGCTGAGCCCTGATCCGAAAGCTGAAGATGGTCACACAACCGGAAGAGTCCAGCTTCCAAGGGGCTGGCCTTCCAACGCATTCAATAAGTCACTTGGAAGCACACTGTTTCGAAAGCCCTAGAATAGAGAGCGCCAGACCCAGAATATGCTGGAGAATAAGGCCTTCCTCTGTGCAGCCGCCAGATTCTGATCACAACAGTTGGTTTCTGCAGTTAAAGGAGTTGCTGCTTGACACTCAACAAGGCCTTTGTTGATCCTTAACTCGAGGATGAGTGGTGTTCCCGTTTTCCCCTTACCACCGGTGCCTGACGGTGACCAAGTCTACCGTGCCCCGTTGAGACTTGGTCCCTCCAGTCTGGTTGAGCCCAGTTGGGGCCCAACGAACTCATCCAATTGCCCACAAACTGTGCTACTGAGCTGCCTTCCTCTGCAGAGACCTGCTCAAGCGTGTGCTTCACCAAGGAGGTGCCTCTCCAACAAGAAGCAGTGTGGTTGCGCCCAACCTCCCGCGAAGCCCAACGATGGATATCCTCATCGCCCTTCCATGCACTCGCCCGCTCCACGTCAACCCACATGAACCCAAAGCTCCACGGTGAAGCGCTGAACACAAAGCGAACGCCGCGGTACGAGCGCGCGCCGAAAGCGCCTTGGAAGGAGAAGGTGCCCCGCAGGCGATGGTCCTTGAAAAGCACCCGCTCATACCAGACCTGCGTCTTCTTAGGCCCGACCCACCAAGGGTCGCGCGTTCGCGTGCGCAGGTGACGACGATGAAGGACGTCTCAGACCGGTGGGAGAACGGGAAGCATCACGAAGGAGGTGTTTCGTCTCTTTGCAATGCTTGAACTCCAGAAACATGTGGCGCTTGGCGCCATGAACGGGAGGGAAACTCAGAAATCCGATGTTGATCGATCTTGCCAAGCCTGAGACGCCCTGATCAAGAATTCGGGGCCCCTATAGTCATCACAAGAGTGTTCAAATTCTCAAGACTGTCTCCAGAGGGTGGATCCTTGGCAATGGCTGGTTCCCAAACAACTTCAGAGTCAATGAACTGGTTCCAGAGTAGAAGGGCACAATCCCCCAGGGCAGTTTATATATATATATATGGTAACTGGACCCTATATAAAAGACATCTTGGGTTGTGCCATCGATATACTCTGAAACCACTGGCTGGTAGTTGTCTACATCATCCTCGCCAGGGTGCTGCATCATCCTCCGGCATCTGATCCTGGTCCACAGGGGTGGTCGAAGGTGCCGGTGTCGATGGAACTTCATCACCCCTTGTGCGTCTAACATGCGAACATGTATGTAAGGATACAGATTTCACCTATTTCTTCGGACTATTCCAGTAATTGTTGTGTTTATTCAGTCAAAAACGTGATTGGAAAAGACTTCTTTGCCTTGCAAACCATGAGATCCCTTCCCTGCTAAGCAGTCTGTCTAGAACATGACCCTGGCATGTACCAAAGAACACTTTTGTTCTCTGGATAGTACCTAGAACCGGACATGTAGCGCAGCCAATATCACAATTATCAAACAGCAGAAATGGATGTTAACAATGCACTCTTGATTACATGATGGCCGCCCAAATGGGTATCTCATGACTCAAGCCACTGGATCAACTCCACGGGACCAGCGGAGTGCTGATCAAGTTGACCCGGTGAATCTGCTACGGCCAAACAGCATACACTCTGCGCACGTTCCATGGAAGTGGACCTGTAGGTCAGCTCATCGCTTTGTTGTATGGAACATCCCCCGGCACTGCAGGTGCAGAATTATATATATATCTCTACTTATAAATGACTGTTGATCATTATATCCAGGCCATTACAGTCCAACGTGCGCCGTGCGCCGTGCCGCCGGACATGAGGGTCGAAGGAGGGTCGAAGAACGGAAGAGGGGCGTTTAGCCTGAAGAACTCCCCATATAAAGTGGCCTGGCCCAAGGGGATATACCTTCTACATGGACAACCCTGGCAATTGTACTGTATGTCAAACTGCTTTCAAGTTGAAACATGTTTTAAGACACCTCAAATGGATACAGTTTCTATCAGCAGGCAGTTGCCAGCCATGTTTGACCCCGCCCCAAATCGTCAGGACAACTAACATATACCAATCAATACATATAGAGACAAATATACAGCATCATTGAACCATACAGTATACAACACATTACAAAGCATTCAGAATCATATTCAATCAACTACCAATCTACACCTTCACCTAGTCTCATGACTTCACCTTCTGACCTCGCCAGCCATCTCTCATCAACTCTAAGAGCCCAGGAGCGGAAAACCATGAAGACGATCTACCCGTGACGACCATGACAAGAACATGATATGGAAAATGGCACTGATTTGCCAGTCATGGAATGACTTAACAACGGCATGGCACGACAGGGGTGGAGTAAAAAACAAAAAATCGAAACAACAACCTAACAGTTAACAGGTTCAGCATCCAAAACTGTAATAGCAGTTATCTCACATGGACATAATACATCGTTTTCATGACTAAAGTTTCATTTGAAGTGGACACCGTAGATTGGTACCAGCCGTGTCCAAAATGGTTTCAAACATCAGCTGGGCGTCAAAGGGTATCTCACCTTGGCCAAACCATCCGATCGGCTCGTAGTCATCAGTGGCTACCACCTCCACATTCTCGTTGTCATAGACTCCTGGATGAATCATTCGACAAAATGTCTTCGAACTTCAAATGATGACTTCGTTGCGTCGCTGGTCTGCAAGTTGGGAGAACCCCACACGGGCCCCACAAGAATTCAATGAACATTTTGTTGAAAATGGGGATGAGATGGGACGAGATTAGATGTTATATAAGATCTTTCGAGATTTGTTTGAGACCCTTGTGGGGGTCAATGTGCAGGAAGCGGATGGCATCCCCCAAGCAAGAGTGAACCACTCCAATCAGAGTCCACTGCCACCGTATATTAGAAGGTTTTGCTTGGTCAGAATGAAGCACCTGCTTAAATGATCATCCAAGACTACTTTGTTGTGATCGGTGGACTGCCTCCATCTCCACGATTTGGACCAATTCGAACCAGGATCCTATCGACTAGCGCCAAGCATCTGTACACGAGCTGGTACTCCTGGTACTGAGCTCCCAATGCCACCGCAGACTCATGTTTCTCGTCTTGTTCCTGCGCCATTCATGGTCAATGACCCTGCTGGGCAGATTCATCGGTATGACTTGACCCAATACCGCCCATTTCACCTTGGATTTGTACGTTGCTTATGTGAGCAGTGAGAACAAAGGCTGCAGCAAACAAATTGACTTCGAGCGTCAAGAGTCCCGAAGGCCATCTGCATCTGCAGGATTTCCTGACTGCGTTGGACTCCTGGTTCTGTGTTTTCTTTGATTCCCGAGTCGTATACCTCTCCAACATGCACCTCTAGCAACAGCAGTCCCCTGATACATGCATGACTCGCATGGCTTCCCAAACGCATGTTTCAAGCGCAAAATCCGGATACTTGATTCACTGAAACATCTGAAAACTATCCCCCCAGCATCTGAGTGCTTCTACGTCTAAGATCCTCTTTCGGAGATACCATCCTCCATTCCCACTTCAAAATCCCCAAGGAATCCACCCTTGCACCCAGCTGACTATGAGCCAAGACCCTCAACCCCCACTCCTCGAACTGAAAAATGCCGCGTCGCCGCAGCCGCTGCGCCTCCACTGGCCCCAGGTGCGGGCGACAGATCCGCGTGGCCGCCACTTCCGGGGAGGCACCTAGCGCAGGGGTGCTGCCCGCGACGGCGAATGGCGTGGTTTTGCAAGGACAAAGCCTCGGCTGTGGTTTGGGCACCCTACCTATGGTGTGGAACGCACCCAAGCCATCCCAAGCTACCAAACAGTCCGGCGTGCCTGGTGCGCTGCCGAGTAATCCAGTGACTCGACCCTTGAAGGCACCGGTGTGCCAACGGCCCAGCAGAACTTTGTGCTGGCGCACGAGCAGCGTTTGCACGAGGAAGGTCATGGCGCACGCGGCGCGTGCCGCGGTGCGTCTGCGGTGCACGTCTGGCTCAGCTTCGGCACGGTTTACATTATCCCTTGTGGCCAGGCGTTTGGGATCTCAAAGTCGTTTCAGGGTCCTGGATGGATGGATGGATGGATGGATGGATGGATGGATGGAATTCAATCATAAGATTTGCACAGGCCATGGAGGATGGATGCCTGGGCCTTTTTTGAGTGCGATCTTGCCTGTTCTGCATCAGACCACATCAAGTCATCCAATCCAATCCGTCTGACGGATCACATGATGCACCGAAGGTGTAAACCCTGCGATGAACTTGGGTCTCTTACCTCACAGGCTTTCACATGGGACCACATCAGGATCAAACCATGCGGCCCAATCTGAAAATCAGGCATGGCAGGATTCCCGGAACTTGGGCCGAACAGCAGCATCTTTTGTGTCATGCGTTGTCTCCGAAAAGCTGGCGATGCCTAGGGCTGCCTGGAAGGTTTCGGATTTCGGCCCAAACACTCCAAGGTGGTGGAAAGAAAACACCTACATCGGGCCTTTGAAAGCCACCCCCAATGTATGGCAAATATGCCACCCCCACGGTGGAGAGAGTCGGTGGTCTCATGAGTCCCATGCATCCGCACGAGCCCGTTTTCGAACCCGTTTTCGGACCCGTTTCCGGCATGAGTCCCGTCAGTTCTCTGCCCGGTTAGAAAGCACTCCAGCAGTGAAAACATCCATCTTGACAGACACGTGGGTAGATTGTACTTAAGGGTATTTGATTGATCTATGTTGATATACAATTATTCCATATTATTCCTGTTCCACGTCAGAAGCCTTTCCTTTTCCACATCAGGAGTTTCGACGCCCCCAAAACTGGTCTGTCTTTGCTTCCAAGATGTGGCTTGGGTTCTTTGGCCTGCACCTACTCACTTCAAGTTGACACTTCTCTACAAGAAATCCTGCACAACCCAACATGTGGGCATGTGGGCACTTGCTCATGTTCTGGGTCCACTCTGAGCATATTCACATGGAAAAGCATTGCTTTTGGAAGGGAAGACGGTTCCGGACTGCCTTCTTGCCCAAGATGGGCGGGATGGGGGCGCACTTCCATGTAAAGATGTCTTGGTCTCCACGCCACAGGCGCTGGTGCCGCTTGCTGCAGCTGAGGTCTTGGGGGGTGCGACACGTGCACGTTCAGCTGAAGTGGATGGTGTCAGATGAAGGAATTCCTGAAGCCTCGGGGTGGAGCTATACCGGCTATACCCCCTGACTGAGACTCTGGGCTCAATTCCCGATGGTTTTCCTTGAAGCGGATCGAATGGAAGGAACGCCACAAATGGAAGGTGAACCCGTTTCTATCCGCATCGTCTTGAACGGTCTGCACAGCATTCCAAAAACTGCGCAAATAAACAATATATTTGGAAGGAGTAGACCTGTGCGCAAAACCTGGAAGCATTCTTCCAGATTGTAGTTATAATATATTCTATCTATCTTATTGTAAGTCTATAATCCCGAGTACCTATTAATAAACACTCCCCAATTAAAAAAACCCCACGTCCGAACCCCTAAATTCGGTTTATATTTGGTTTTAAATTGCCGCCCTTTCAAACCGCTACTAAACTACCAACATGGTCGATTTTGGGGGTAGTTTTTTTTATTAGGTTCCCCAAAACTCCACCATGACACGCCGCGCTTACACCAACAGGCTTTCCTTCCCTCAATGGCACGGACTCACGCAAACGCACTTGCCACCGAGGTCATGCAACACCGCATGGCACAGCGACATCACCTTTCGAAAGCTTTAGCTGTTAGTCTACTGAAGAATCACTATTCTAATGAAGGTTTTTGTAGGGGAAAAGGAAGACCCCTTCGATCTGGCGGTTTTTTGCATTTTTGATATGAGTTTAATAAAGGATTTTATATAAAATTTTCCTGGATTACTTTTTTGTTTTTGAAACTCTTTCCAGGTGACCCTATTTTGAACCCCCGATTTCAGGGACCCCC